ACTGCCCCCCCCCCCTCCGAGTTTCTCTCTCGTCTCTCACCAAGCAGACCTCTGCCTCGCAGGGTAATTCAAGCGAGAGCAAAAAGAACAAACGACGAAGCAGGGGGAGCTAACCCGCCACCCCGTACACCCCGTGCACTCCGTGCTCTCGTTCCAATTTGCGCGCGGCCAGAATGCGGACAAAGCTCTTCGTACAGGAACGCTTGCTACTGATGCAGACTATCACAATTAATGTATTTGATGTCGCACGAAGAAACTCTTTGGAACCGTCGAGAGGAGCATTTATGTCATCCTGTAGAGGAATTCAAGGACTACCAGTAAATGCGAAACATCTAAATATGTCTTAAATCATAATACGATAACCCCGGCGACGATAACCCCCAGTTGCAGGAAAGGGGTTCCATCCATCCCCTCCCCCCTTGTACCACAGTGGAGATAAGGGTTTGCGTGTGTTAATTTTTCAATAGTAAAGAAATGTGTGGTAGTATCCGAGTCTTACAATTGCTTTCGAACTTTTCGAACCATATAAAATTGCGTATGTGGGAGATGTAGGACATTACTGGATTTCGTGTGTCAAAGATTGAACCATTCAGTTAGCTGGTTGGTTATTCTGACATCGGCCTCTCGAACGTTAGCCCAGGCCAATGCCAAAACATCATTAGAACCCAGTTTCCGAAAAGTGCTTTCTCTGCAGACAAGGAAGAATGAAAACAATTAGTTGCCGTCGCTTGTTAGCATAACAAGTAAGGCTGTCTCTCTTGAATTATAATCAAGGCAGCAGTGTTTTATGTGCAAGAAGTCAAGCGAAACAAAACAGTGGCATGTTGCTCGTGCTTATTGGCTGCGAATAACTCATTGTTTTCAGAAGAGACCGCCCAGCATGGAAAGGACGAATATCACAATTGATGCCCGAATGGTAAGTACGACTTTTATTTCTCTTGGCTTGTTAAACTGAAGTGTAGATGAGTCCTCATTAGAATAGTTGAAGTCGTCTAATATTACCTGTTGACAATGTCGAATTTAATGACAACACTTGAATAAGCGGTTTCTCTCCGAAAGTGAAGAAATCCGCAATTCGGTCCTTGCGATGTTGTGTGATCTGTTTTTAAGTTTCCTGAAATAAGTTGTTATGATCCTTTGAGACGTCAAGCTAACGATGCGCGACTGCTCGTGAAATAACTGAGGCTTGTCTCTGGTTCCGATAAGAAACTGATCGATACAGAAAATAAACGCATACTTCGTGAAGTCAACATCGAAGCACTGACTTATAATCTTGATAACGCGTCACGATTGGTCAACATTTTACGTGACAACGTTGTCAACATAGTAAAGGGTTTGAACCCAGGAGTATACGAACTAACGTTGTCAACGTTGCAAACTTGTCAATAAACAAAAGAAGTGATGTGCAGAATAATACCACGGAAAGAAATAAGGCTGACTGTACACAACATAAAAAGGGAGGTTGGACACCTATTGAAGCAAATATGTTGAGTTGATGTGACTCGGCAAAAACAGCTTTTTGATTGATGCAAAGGCGCACGTAGTCTGAATTTCAGCCGTCTCTTCCCTTTACCCCGAGGGGGGCGCGGAAGTTTCTCTCCCGCGCCCCCCTCGGGGTAAAGGGAAGAGACGGCTGAAATTCAGACTAAGGCCCACGCACACAAGTGCTACAAACTGATGATGGAATTAAATGCTAAAGAGTGTATTTCAGGTCTGAGGGCAAAGTAAGTTATGTTTACACTTCTAGTCACATCTTGACAGTTCCTACACCCGAATGGGAGACTTTGGATAAAGGTGTATTGACGTGGGTAATGTCGGTTGATGTGGCATGTTCTTTCAGAAGTTCTTTACAATTGGCCAAACAAATTTCTCATCATTTGGCAAACATGCGAGATCGAATCGATTGTCAATGGACGAAAATTTCAGCAGTTTCGGTTTTCTTGTGCTTGTGAAAATTAGCTCTTGGTCTCTACTTGGCACCGCTTTCTGTTCGTGGTCGTAAATTTCTGGTACAAGCTTAGTATACCTCGTAATGACAGTGTACTTAGACTTTTGTCAAATACATGGTTATTTTATTACGCTGTATACCGAGAAGATTAAAAAAAGACAAGAAAGGATCTCGGTTAAATGCAAACGCGGCTGCGAGAGTTGAACGCCGAATTCTCGTTAATTTCTCAACGTTACATAAAAAGTTAGTTTTCAACAAGAGACTATGATTCAAACATTTTGCTTTCGCTCAGATCAAACAAGGTAATTTGTGCTGATTTATGCATCGACGTAGTTAACTCAACATTTACAAGATATGTCAACCGTGATCTACCGTCCTTAGCCTCTAGGGGGAGGGGGGGTAGTTCTTACATATATTAGAGCGCACTTTCAGGTTATTGTTGTCTTGCTTGCAGATGACTTTACGATCATTAGCTTTCCAGGCCGCAACGGCCACAAACAAGCACAGTGGACTGAGTCTACTCCACGCTGCATGCATCGAAGGCGACTTGGAAACTGTACAAATAATCATGAGGTACAGCCCTGGCAAATTAGATAACGCCATTGCTTTGTCTATAAACACTGAATACTCTGCGTCATGTCCAAGGAAGACTGCCTTGGATATCTGTGACTCACATCAGACTGGCAATCACGTGAAGATACACAAGATTCTAGAGAATGTGTTTATGGAATTTCGGTCAAAATCTTTGACACTTATCGCAGCTAGACGAGGAAAGTGGGAACATCTCAAGAGGCTTCTTGATCTCGGTTCGGACCCAAACGAAGTGTCGTGTGACGCCAATCAAGTCACGCCATTGATGCTGGCAGTCACGCGCAACACCAACATCTGGGCTGAGCTTCTCCTTGAGAGGGGAGCCGACGTTAATGTGAAAGACAAATCTGAAATGAAAGCGCTTCATTACGCCGCTCTGAACGGTCGAACGAGAACTGTTCTGTTGTTAATAGAGGCTGGCTCTAGCGTCAGCGATGTTAGCGACAGAGGAATGACGCCATTACATTTTGCCGCCAAGAATGGTCACACTAAAACGGCCGCCATTCTCATTGAACACGGCGCCGATGTTCATTCAAGATCGTCCAGCGGTTGTACACCGTTGATGCTAGCGACGGAGAAAGGACATTACGAGATTGTTGAGTTTCTTCTCGCTCAAGGTAGCAGTGTTCACACTACCGAGCAAATGGGTTTTACTGCACTTCATCTGGCAGCCGTCAAAGGTTACACTGACTTAGTCCGGCTTCTGCTTCAGAAGGGAAGTAGTGTAGACGCAAGAGCCTCAGGTAAAACTCCTTTGTTTCTGTCTTCGTTTGCAAATCACCGAGAAACTACCGAGCTGTTGCTTCGTTATGGCAGCAACGTCAATGCGTATGACATATTTGGCAGAACAGCTGTGCACTACGCCGCTCAAGAAGGACAAGTTGCCATGGTGAAGTTGTTAGTTGAAAAAGGCGCGAATGTTCACGAAGGTGACAATGAAAATCAGACGCCATTGTTCATGTCAGTGATCTATGATCAGAAAGAGGTGGCCAGCCTGTTGCTGCAACTGGGAGCCCACGTTAATGCAAGTGATATCAATCGTAAGACTCCGCTGCACTTTGCTGCACAGGAAGGCTACGTGGAAATCGCTGAGTTGTTAATTCAAAATGGCGGCGACCTGAATGCTGAGGAAGTCACAGGCGACCAACCACTGTCCCTTGCAGTTGCATACTGCAGTGATGACGTGGTAGAGCTTTTGTTACGTCATGGCGCTGAGTTGAACAGTGCAAACGAAAGTCTTTTGACTCCTCTTCATATCGCAGCTCAGAATGGCAAAACAACTCTTGCAGAATTGTTACTGCAGCGAGGCATTGACCACGAAGCTAAAGACTGTGATGGACAAACACCATTGCATATAGCTTGCTCGTATGGAGATATCAAAATGGCGGAGCTGCTTGTGCGATATGGATGTGACGTTAATGCACGAGATGGCGCTAACCGCACGACACTTTGTTTAGTTGTAAGTGAAGGACATCTTGAAATTGCTTCTTTGTTGCTGAACCACGGCGCAGACGTGAACTTGGTCGACGGAGACGGCTTCACAGCACTTCATAATGTGTACACAAATCTTCACTCGTTCCTTGGCGACGAGCGGACTAGCCTCGCCATAACCAAATTATTGTTTGAATTTGGAAGTAAAGTAGACAACACTGATCCGCGCGGACGAACAGAGCTGCATATGGCGGCTGAATGCTCATCGGTAAAACTTGTGGAGCAGCTCATTGAGTATGGCAGTAGTGTCCATGCTGTTGATACGGAGGGATGTACTCCTTTAATAAGAGCCACAAGGTTCTCCCGCAGACCCGAGCTTATTGTCAAAATTTTAATTGAAAACAACGCTGATGTGTCAGTGAAGGATAAGCTCGGCCGCACCGCTCTGCACTATTCTGCGGGCTTTAAAGGAAACCGTAAAATTTCCCAGACTCTGATTCAGAAAGGCATTCAAGTTCATGATGTGGACAACGACGGGAACACAGCTCTGCACCTCGCGGCTAACAACCGTAACACACACACTGCAGAGCTACTGATACAATACGGCTGCGACATAAACGCTTGCAACAAACGCAGTGAAAGTGTTTTGCACAAAGCCATAACCGCCAAGTGCGAGTGTACACACGGCTGCAGAAAATGCATGTGGAAATACCATACTGTCGCGCTATTGGTCGAGAAGGGGTGTGACGTCAGAAAAACTGACATGGATGGTAACTGCGCGCTTCACCTGATGGCGCAATGGATCACGGATCCCACAACTGTAAGACTGTTGATTAGAAACAGAGCTGATGTTCGCGCAAGGAATAATCAAGGCAGCACTCCATTGCATCTGATGTCTGCTGTAAAATGTGAGCGGTCAAGAGCAAAGTAAGCCATTCTTTTTATTTGGAAATCAAGCTATAGAAAAGTTTCATGAGATGAACGTCCTAAAATGTGTTTCCAAGGAAAGATAGCTCATTATGATTTATTCATTACATTTTTCATCCCTTCAATTGATATTCTCTTTTAAATAAACTTTTTACCGAACTGGACATGCACCGTCTTTGATCATTTGGTTGCCTTTCCTAAATTTGTCCTTTTTTGTCGGGACAAAAGAGTAACATCTTATCAGAGTTTCCCCTGAGAACAGCATTGCACTGTCCTTAAAAATTTAACCTCCTGTCGTTTGTTTCAAAGTAGTTTTTTATAAGCACGAGCGAGTGATCTGTGTGTTTAATAAACCTCGAGATTGTATTAAAACTTGTATGTAGTTGGATCTTAGTTGAGCCCTTATTGTTTGTGGCTTCTTAGCCTCGTGATATTGATTTAATCAGCACAATGTTCGTCCACATCTTAGTTGTACTTTTGGCCGCTATCTCAATGAACCGGGCTGCGGGAAAATAAAACGAAGTGTTCTCGTCGTGTATCGTTTTTTTTAAAACTACATCGTTTTACTTCTTCAGGTACACCAGGTCACGTTGGACATGTGATGCTGTGGAGCTATTTATCAGACACGGATGTGATATCCGCGCTGTGGATAATGAAGGCAACACCCCCCTACACCGGACAGCCGAGTCTGACCGAGACGACATTGCAAATATCCTGCTGGACCGTGGAGCCGAGATTGAAGCCCTGGACTGGCAAGCAAACACCCCACTGCATGTTGCCGGGGCGTGTAACTCAGTCAGAGTTGCAGCACTCTTGGTAAAACGTGGCGCTAATACCAGGGCATTGGATAGCGAGGGAAGTACACCTCTGGACATCGCTTACAAGTGTGGCAATCATGAAATAGTTGATCTTATGGAAGAGCACACGCCGTAAAATAATGGAGGATTATGTGATTGAAATTTTCATTTCCTCGCATTTGCTGACTAAACACGTTTCCAGACTGAAATGCGAATACTTCAACGATTTGTTCTAGTGAAGAAGTAATCCAATGATAGGAAATTCGGAAGAGATAGAAAAAAAAAAGCTGAAAAAATATAATACACACCAGGTCAAATGATCTATCATCTCATAAACACTCCAAACAAATATGGTATTGAAGACTTCTAGGTACTGGCCCGTCTCCTTTATAACGACACCAAACTCATAAAAAAAATTCTTACAAGATTTTTGAGAATTGCGCCACAAACCTGTCAGCATTCTTAGATTACGCGAAATTTGGAAGACATCCAGAGACTGTGGTCTAAAACGCACAAACACAGTACTGTACTTAAGAACTTAGAGACGTATTTGAACATCAATGAAGGGTTATCTGATCCTGTCTAAAATTCAGGCTTCCAGGTTTCTGCGAGGACCTTTCAAAATAGGTACCCAAAGGGTAAATGTGTGGGATACAAACTCATTTGCATTAACGGACACGAGCCGATGACAATAGTGTGGGATACCACAGGTATCCCACACAAAAAAAGGGGCAGATTAAACATTGCAAATTTAGCATCGAAATCTGCTCTGTTACGGGACCCTTTGGTAGCTGAAAACGGCACTTGCCAGAAATTTAACTTTGTTCACTACACAACGTTCTTTATATTTACTTGAGTCACCAGAGCTGCTGTGGTGTTTCTCTTTGAGTCTTCTGTCATAACTTGGCTATGGCTTAAGTAGATTTTAGAATTTGGAGAACAGTCCTCAGAAAACGTCAAATTATGAGATTGGACAGTTTGAAATTGTGGTGAAATGGGTGAGTTAAATAACTAAGTTCCCATCCCTCAATGAACTACACCAGTTACTTTTTCTTGACAAGCAATGGAACGAAATGTCGCGCTAGAATGGCTAAACTTAAAGAAAAGCACAACTTGAAAATAAAAGGGGCTTATTTTATTTGTCTCTTCCTCATCAACGATATGGCAAAGAAACTTAAAGATCTAGAAATGTGTACTGATTTTCTTAGCACAGGTACTGGAAACCTGACGTATCCAAATAAATCTTAAGTCAAGCTGGAGTCTATAAAAAATCTCAAATAACCTTTCGTGACATCCTTAAGGGGGTATGGTACCCTAAAATATGGCGATGTTCATGAAAAATTCAATTTCTTGGAAATACAAGACTTAAGACCCTTGAGGACATGTCAAAAACATTTTGAAACGATCTTGCCGAATTTCCTTCCAGATGAGTGTGAAATTTAAGGAAAGTTCACAGTGGTATAAGTTTTTTCACGTAGCAACAGCCATAGCAATAACTGTTTGCTATAAGAAAGTGACCAAAAATATAGATTATTTTTGACTTATATGAACGAAACTATTTAGAAAAAAACTTTTAAGACATGCACAACTCGATTGATATAATTAATTGTGAAAAGCTTTGCCTCAAATTGCCATCACAAGCTCATTCATTTCCCTTATGAAAAGGAATATTTCCCACAACTGCGCTAACTTTTACAAAATAGAACAACCATTGCACCCCCTCCCCCGAGATCCAATCTGCACTCCCCTTCCCCGCTATTTGTGGCTCGTTAAATACTTAATAGCTCGTGTAAGAAACTTAAAGTGCATTTTTCTCAAAAGTTCACTTTTGTACCGACTGACTTCGCGCCAACATTTCTACTTTGCAAGGTTTTTAAGTAGAATTCCCGAAACTTAGGCTGATCAAAGACCAATAGTGTCGTGATGTCGTAAACCAAAAAAATCGTAACATTTTAAGATCTGTCACGTGACATGAGATGATTTGTCCACTGGGTGTGGTAAAAAATAAGGTTATTTCCAAATAAAGCGGTAAAAAGCACTGAAAATAAGAGTTAACAGTCAAAACGTAGGTTCATTGCACAGAACAAAACAGAAAGTTACATGATATGCTTATTTGACAGTCAATTCTTGTTTTGTAAAAGAGCAGGAAGTGTTGGCGTCAATACTATAAAACACTACTTCAAAAGGCTGTGGCTGGTTTCCATAGCATCCATTTTGAGTAAAACTCTAGAAATTTAATTTCTCTTCTTGAATGCAATAGCACACAATTGATCTTTCTTCACCATAGTTAAACAAACTTTTTGGTCCATTTGAAGGTACCATACCACCTCAAGTCTCGTCACGCAATCTTTCCTCTCCGACAAACGTCGAAAAATTGCGTGACAAGCGTGGGTAACGCCAACAGTCCGGATTTATCGTCCTGGTTCATCACGCAAGATAGCAAGCAGTCAATTCTCGATTGACGAGCCAGGAGTAGATACTACGATTAGCCCTCTTTTCTACAAAACATCAGCGTTGAGCATGCGAGTCCCTTTCATCAGATCACCAAAGGTACAGCTGTAACCGTCCTGTTGTATTTAGGGACAAAACTGCCCAGTCCCCCGCCATAATTCGGACGACACTCGACGTTTTCGAAGAAGCGATACTCATCGTATGGTGCTTGTTTACTCTGCATGTCTTTAGCGACCTAAAATGAAAAGCAAAATTTATCCGTCGCGATAAATTGATAAGTTGCTGAAATCGTACGTTACAGGCTACCCTGTTCAAATGGTCTACGATGTTGTACGAGTGAGCGCACGAACAATGATACTCTGGAGAAAGGGAAGGAAATCTCTGTCTCTGTTATGGTAGAACAAGGAACGAGTGAGCGAACGAACGAAAGAACGCTCAAACAGGTCCATGGACGAATGCTTGCCCAATTGCGAAGAAACTCCAAAAATTACTAAGCACTGACCGTTTTAACAACACAAGAAAAACGTTTTAAAACTTTTAATATGAGGAAATCTTAACCACAGATTGACATCTTACAACTGACTACTGACGGATAAATTAGCACACTCTTATACATGCTATTTACAAGCATACATTTCCACATTATCACACTGACCTCTTCAGCTTTTTCAAAGACTCTGATGATATTTTCGCCAACAACTTTTTTCACTTCATCCTCAGTATAATTTCTCCTGAGGAGCTCAGCTATCAGATCAGGAAACTTCGTGACATCTTCCAGCCCTTCTGGTAAGCTGAAATGCAAGATTAGGAGTATAAATCAACAAGCTTAATAGAATGATCCGATATAATAACTCTCAATTCATAATCACAAATCCATTGTAGGTTGTGTGTCAACATATTGTGATGCATTCAAAATTCTCTCTGCATAGCATTCTGAGTAAAAGCCAATTAATGTGTTTTAGTTCTTTAACAGATGCTTTGTCTATTCCAGACTATTCACAAATCCTATTGAAGAACAATCATTATCATCATCATCATCATCATCATCATCCTCATCCTCATCATTATCACAATAACAATTCATTACAAAAAAGGTCTTGCTATGAGCTGTAAAAGCAGTAAATTACAGAGTTAATTACAAATATCACATGAGCTGTCTCACTGTCAGGAACGCTAATGTAAGGAACATATAATTGTATAATATATAATTATTATGTCTTACGTAGGAACACCGTCATAATCACTTCCAAGTCCAACATAGTCTATTCCGGCAATTTTCTTTATGTGATCAATGTGATCTGCAACAAAACAATACTGTTTTTACGATCATCGTTAACATTTGTGTAAGTCCTACTGATCTTTCACATGGATGATAGTAGAAATGTGATGGTACTTTATAATCAGAGATACTCGTTGATAATCCAATATTCCAGGGAGCCTCCAACACAGCCTCTCCCCCCCCCCAGATGAGGAAAGATTACATGACAAACCCATAGGGTATCTGTGGAGAAGGGAGTCTACATTCCAGGTAATATATTTGACAATACCTTCTTTTTTTTATTTCACTGATATTCCCAGTCCATGGAAAGACAGGTGGTACACAAGGCATGTAGTGACATTAGGAGTGAGTGGAGTTAGGAAAAGACATGGTGGAATGAGCAGGTAAGCACCAGCCTTAGTGTCTTGGCAGTGCTACAGCTTAGTTTATAACATGGAACCTTGTAAAAGGATGTTAAAGTAAAACAGCTCAGGGTTTGATGTGTTAATCGAAAGAACATTGGACACTAAAAGATTCACAGTACTGGGTTTAATCTTTGACCAGGTCCTTGTGTTTTCATTTCTTGGAATGTCCTTGTATCATACACGATGCCGTATTGTCACAGCACCTCTTTCATTTCAAGACCACAAATGGGCAATAGCAAATTGTTAAGGCACTCTGAGGATAGGCTAGGGGGAGCTTACCCTAGCCTAGAAACCCACCCAAGGGTGGAAGATGTGCTTTTATCTACCAAAGACTGCACCAAAGATAAGCTTTCTGACTTCCCCATTTTGCAGGAATAAGAACAGACTCTGCTTTCCTGCAACTTAAATATAACAAAATATTTGCCAAAGCACTTGTTTTGTTTAACTGGACAGCTTTTGAACAAGCTTACTTTGGAATGAATGCAACTGATACCTGTTGGCTTAACATTCAACCCAGCAGAATTGCATGTTTTGTTACAAACCTGCCACATGGGATAAAGTTGCATTTATGCTGTTGGTCTTGTTACAATAGATATATTTACTGTAGAAGTTCACCATAACAACTCCTCCATTTTTAGGCTGCAATAAACAAAACAGTCATAATATAACTTGAAACAAAGCACTTTTTTTAGGTAAATGCTAAGGTGTGCAGTTCCCAGGGGCACATAAACAAGCCCATAGCCTGGGGATACACAAGGTGCATTTGCAACCCCCAGAGGCCCCAAAGGTGCCTAATATTGTTTGGCAGTGAAGCTCAAAATGACTGCCATTATGAGGCAACAAAGGAAAAATTATTTTTACTTCTGTTTTATTTTGGGGGGTCTCCTTTGAAGTTTTTTAGGTCTAAAGGGTCCTTGGGTTCTATGTGGTCTTCATTTCCACACACCCTGTATGATAATATGATAAATACCACATGGAATTCTAAAAACACAACATAGCATACCATCCGTTTAAGGATAGAGTCTGGAACGTTTCGACCGTGATTGCAATGAATATCAAAGGCTGATGAGTGGCTAAAAATCACTGAAAATAATAACAAGGACACAAAGTGTTACTGCAGCCACCATGTCTTCATGTCCTACAGTGATAATAAATTGCTTCATTCTCTTCAACATTCAAAAACAAATCTGAAAGGTTTAAAGGTCCTGATTGTGCCTGAAAGAAAGGCAACCTTTTAATACTTCTTACTTCATTCAATTCTGCACAAAACGTACGACCTTGCTCAATTTGCAGGATGTCCCTGTATAAGGTAAATAAGATAGAGTTGCACACACCTGCCCCCCTCCCACTCCTCCTTGCAAGAGGAACATGCAAAGGGCAAAACCATTCACAGCTTTACGTAAATACTTTGCCAAATCATGGCACTAGAAGAAAAGGCCTCACCCACTGTGCATTCTTCTTTCCTTACACTATCTACACCAGCAGCTGTCATTGCTAACTTACCTGGAGCTTTAACAGTGTTAAGAGCAGCAGTCATTGTACCAACAGATACATGAGACAGATCAACAAGCATTCCAAGCCGATTCATTTCAAGCACAACAAGCTGAAACATAAATCATGTCAATAACAAGTACACCTGGATACATGTAGGAAGGTAGGGATAACAGATATTTCCACCATAACACAAGAATCTCCAATAAACAGAAAATCAGTGCTATAAATAATTGTATCAACAACAGGTAAGTTCACCAGCAACATTAAGACTAAGCCGTAAACAGGTGAACATTACGGGCTACGGCCCTTAATGAAAGCCCTGTTCTCATATTACAATCTGATGATGGCTCTGTTTTAAGAATGCTATGTGGCAAAACTTTTTGATCTGTAACACTCTTTTTCCAAACTTGTTACTTTACCTATTTTTGTTTGAAGTGCAATGCTCTTTGTCAGAATATAAGCAAGTGGAGATAAAAATGCTGGGGTGGAAAGGGCTTAAATACTCCGGATAGTTTTAGTATCATCAAAAGCCATTGCATGATAAATGTTTTCATAATTTTGCAAACTTCCTTTTCTTCTTCTATTTGAAGGACAGTGTTCTGTTAAGGAGTTACAATGTCATAAACGTGAATTTGAAAACAGAAATTGGAGGGAAATGGCTTTGAAGCAGAAAATTACAAGCAGTGCATGTGTCATGTTTATGTCTCGTAGGTCATACTGCATAGTCTAACTTACTTTCCCAAAGTCTGTAAGTCCTCCGTGAATGTCTTTTGAGTCTTCGTCAGTCCATCCATCAGCCCTGCATGGGAATAAGTTACAGACAAGACAAGTGAAATAACAGTAACTAAGGCTTCAATACTACACAATGGGGTACACACTACTAAGTATTGCAATTTGTCTTTGTTTGATCAGCTCCTGGTCCATCTTTTATATATCTCAGTAGTTTTTCAGGTTTCCCCAACCATTTCCTGATGCAATTAAAATACTCTTCTGGTTCAAAGACTAGAATGCCAGCCTGGAGTCTGACACACAAACAAATTTTTAAGTTCAATTAAATTGCCCTCACAGAGGCTGGTCAAAGTTTCAGGAAACAAGATTGATCAACAACAAAGAATATTAAATGAAAGCGGGACATTAGAACATCCTGTAGAAAGCAATCCTGGTTTAAGGTTAAATATCCTTGGTGCTTTTCCTGACAGTAATCATGTTGTACATTTTATAAGAGGCCCACTATACTTAAATTTCTTATAAAAGTCAGGGCAATGGCTATCAGGAGCCAACATTCCTTCAAATAGCTCTAAAACAAGAGTCCACTGAAAATTAATTATGCTTTTACAGTGTTTCGGCCAGAAAATTTTACTTGAGGGCCAAAGTGGCCCCTGAAGACCTTTTTTAGGGGCCAATTTTTTTAGGAAAGGGGCCAATAAAATGAAAGCTACAGAAGGAAAAAATGCATCAGGGTACCAAGGAAAATAAAGCAGTTTATTAGGATCTGTGATAAAATTTAATAAGTACTTTTTGAAGTGTTTCAACTCAATAAAGTTTCTTTTGAATCAGATACTAGGATGAAGGATCGGTGCATTACAAGAGAACAATCCTTAGGCATACATAACGTAGTCAATGATCAAGGGTTTGCAATGCATTACAGGGCGATTTCAAACACGGTCAGCCATTTGGAAGTTTTCAGCCGATGTGAGAGAATCAATACAGCAAAGCAAAAGGATGGATTGACTTCTTTTCTTATGTTGAATGTTTTAGAAGCAAAGATCTTTCAATATGATTTCCTAGAGGGACATAATGTGTGACAAAATAACCGTTATTAATCATCAACGCAGAGGAATGTAGTCACCATTATGGTGACAAAACCAGAATTTTTGGTCGCCAAGGATGAAATGTTAGTTGCATTGGCGACCGTATCGGTCACAATTTCGAGCCCTGGGATAGCTTTTAAAATACTATGCCTGTGTTAAGCCTGAACTCTTGTAAAAGGAAAGGGCCAAATTGGCCCTTTTCTCGTTTTTCTGGGGGCCATCTCTGATTGCAGCGTGGGATTCCCGCAATGGCGCGCTCTGGTGCAAACACTGCTTTTAGTGAAGAAAATTTGATAACATTACCATGCAGTGTTGCAGGAGTGTGTAAGAGTCATATATCTGACTCCAAGTTTATAAAACATTCGCAGAGCACCAAGGCTTGAGTCGATCATGTGTCCACCCTCCAGGCCTATCAAAGAGCCAATCTTTCCATTTTTCTTTGCATCTCTTATGCCTTGGGCCATTGTCACAAACACCAGGTCATCTGGATATTTCTCCACCAGTCTGTGGATCACAGCAACTTGTTCCAGCCCCACTCTGACTGCATCTTTGAGACGAATGTCACACGGACTCCATGCTGCCCAAAACTAAATATGTTGAAACAATTATATAACACAGGATTTTATTGAACCATAGTTAAACCTCTATGCTACCATTTCTTTTTTCCACATTCCCTTAGTTACCATAATGTGCAAGTCAGATCACAAAGTTCTCTCCTGCAATCAAGACAGCAGTACAGAACATGTTTGAGCAGTATCAGTCATGAAATCTGGGAATTCTCCAGACTTTTGTTTGGCAAATATTTGTACCAATGAATTGTTTCTGTGGTTTCGCAGTAGTTTGTTTTTAGTTTTGATTCTTAGCGGTTTCTTTACATTCCTGGCTGCATTCGGCCGTTCAATTCCCCAGAGACAACATTTATCAAAGCCGTCTCCCCCTATGAACTGAAACGTGAAATCACATTGCCTCCAAATTACGTAGAAAAGCAGTTTCTTTTGAAACAAATTGTCTCATTCACTTACACTTCCTCATTTTCCTCTACATATAATTGTGATTAAGAATGAAGCCTGTTCAGTACCTGGCTGCCAACTTTTCCTTTCCTAAGCCGTGGTATGTCAGTATGCCACGACTTTTCATCCTCATCAAATGTGAGGTTTTCAAACCGGTTGTGGTACTTCATACGGATCTGATATGGGATATCATTGTGCCTACAGAAAAAAAATGACCAATCAGTTTTAAAATCAAAGTTTCAAGATTAAAAATAAGCTTATTAAACTTAATTGCTTCTAGCCGACGAAAGAACCCTTCACTACATGTATGAACGCGGGGAACTGAGAATGAATCTTATTTTCTTGCCCTTCCCTCACTCAGGTTAATTTTTCCGTGACCCTCTCCAACGTTAAGAAAAAAAACTTAAAGGCACGGTCGTTTTGGCTTTATTCGGGTTGTCATTCACAAGAAGGGAATCAGCAAAGTTTTGTCTTACAATTGTGTTCGGAAAGCTCGCACGATACCTAGCCAGGTATCTCCCTCAAGCAAAACGTAAATTTGAGATGTTTCTCCCCTTTCAACCATCTTTATTCACGTCATGCCACGCTTGGTTCACGGGCTGCGCGGATCGCATACTAACATAACCACTTCGTTTCCATGCAACGACTGTTACATCAAAATTTATTCAGGCTAAGCTTTCGTTTGAAAAATTTAAACAAAAACAAGCGGCGTCTCAGTCAATATTTATTTCGCGCCCTTTGTAAATACGTTTGCGTAAGACTTTTCATCTTCATGTTTCTATTGAACATCGTATAGGAACAGGAAAGAGTAATAAATAAGAATGCATCTTCGTCAAAGTTCTCTCCTTAGCTTCCTTCTCGGCCATGTTGCTGTTTTACTTTAATACTGAATAATATCATGCGATATTGGCCGAGGGTCTTTGTTCGCGAGAAAGTAATCCAGTTGTAAAGAAAATATTACAGGCGATCACAACTGTGCGTGTTTTGTTTGTTTGAATTGAATGAGTAAACCCAAGCTTGACATGTGTAAACTAGTATTAATCACAGATTATAGAAGTGCGGCAGTTCGAACAAGATTTACTGCATATAATAATGAATTAAGAATTAAGAATGAACCGAGTAATGTAACCTGTGTCACAGCTGTCTTCCCGCGAGAGAGCGGGGCGGTACGAGTTATGATACTTGTCAACATCTGCGGGTGTACCGTAATTATTAAATCCCCTTGATCCATTCGTGTAAAAAATTGCCACCGCCCACGGGAACTTATTCGTTTTGTTTTGTTATTTCTGCCGGCGCGCCTTTGTTTCAGGCTGTCATCATGTCGTTTCCATTGACTGCTGGTTTCTATCGGTTTTGATTGCGTTACAGTCTGCAAAAGTCACACCAGGAAATCAGACTGTTTTGCAACGAACGCACTTAGCTTTGTTCCACATCGGTACGACTGGAATAATCACTTTCTTTTTATCCTGTCCTTTCACGCGCAGGACAAAAACCCGACAGAGAACAAACATTAATAAAGGATTGTACGTCACAGATTCTAAACACACCGCTGAAAGGATTGGAAGCTACTGTCGACGCGATTGTTGCTGCACTTGTTCTATTATGACAGAGTACCTTCGCTCTACACGGACAACAATGTTGAGATAGTTTATGTAAATTTCCGGGGAAAGAGCAAATTGGATTTTTCCAAAAGTCGACAAAAGTCTGTCACAAAGTGCGCGTACCCGTGTGCATGCATAATTAATTTTAACATTTCTTTTAAAGAATCAGTGCAACAACACTGGCCCATTATTTTTAGGTCCATGTCGTTGAAAACAAATGTTTTGGTGTTGACTTTACGAGGCCATTGAAGTATATTTTTAAGTAGCTTGTACTACTGGAGAGGAAACCAGATATTTCCGTCCTGTGTGAATAGGATTGCAAATAAATCAGGCCCGTATTGAAATATATCATTGAGGTTTGGGTTTGCGTCTATCCTTCAGACTTCACTGAAACTCTTGTAATATCCAGTACTTGCAAAACATAAACTGTAAAACCTTGAACTGTTTACCCACTCACCCGTCCACCAAAGGCGTTTCATCCAGGATCTTGTTCGCCTGCGCGGCGTAATCAATCGCTCGAGCGCTGCGTCCGGAGGAGGCGGGGACGCAACTAGCAACGCTGATAAAACCAAGAAAGCAACAAAATAGACTGAGGCGTTTGGAGATCATCTTGTTTGCTAAAGTATTTCCAGCTTCAGTTCACAGCCAAAAGGACGCTTGGATTTACAGTGTTAACCAGGGTACTCGCCGCTGTATACAGGGATAACTATTACTGAAATTCTATCTTCTGTTTCAGTTACCTACTAAACAAAAGTTTTTGACCAATAAGCGCGTTAGAAAGTTGACAATTGAAACAGCAAGGCATCAAACTGTCAATATTTTACTGACAGAGAGAAGCTTAATTTCTGACACTACCCTGAGTTTGATTGCAGTCCAGATGCTCCGTCATTTACTCGTCTAATTCACAAAGCTGGAATGAATCGCAAAACTATCATAATCGGTACAGTGGTTGTAGTTGTTGTTGTGATCGTTATAGCCGTACCATGCGCCTTGTTGTTAGGAAAGAAAGACGAAGATGAAACGCCCAAAGCGAAGAGCTACACGGAACGCGCCGAGCAAATATTGAACGAAACACCGCTAGTTGATGGGTAAGAATTTCTTTCCGATTCATGTTCTTTCATAAAAACGTTCATCCTACTTTGCCAAGAAATGCCTCTCAATCGAACGTTACTTAAACGGAAACGAAGAATATATTACTAGGCAACTTTCCGGTGATCTTCATATGGACCCTCGGGCCCCGGCCTCGGGCTAAGAGCGCGTGTAGCAACCACGAAACACGACACGCGTGTAGACAGAAGGAAACCATGCTAACTATTTCAGGATTTGCATTGCTTCTGATTTTCAATTCGTCAGAGTCACCGTCTATGTACAGACGTATTCTGTTGGGACTTCGTCGAGCTACGCCTGCAAAACAGTATTCAGCAAATTTCTACTGCATGAGAGTGGAAGGCGCGAAAGGCGGATATAAGTTAGAGCGATACACGGGGCATGGTCAGTGCGCGGTGTAAGGGCTACTAGTAAAGTTGAATTCTGTATTCGAGATATTTTGAATTCATCGAAAACAATACAAACAACAAAGCCGCGCTATTTGTAAGAAAGATCATCTCGCGGATTATCCGGCAGTCTCCAGGATACAGAACGAAATTTCCCGGTCTCGTGTACGGGTCATCAAATCCCCCGGATAAAAAAAAAAAACAGCTGAAAATACGTTACTAGCCTCCGTAGCAGGCGTATAAAGGGGAGGGGTTGGGAGGAGGAACCCACACTTATTATAGTCAATTTGGCCATTTTCGGGGAAAATTTTTTGAATATTTGATGCATTTTGGTCGTTCAATGACAAAGCTGTACGTTAGAAACATTTTTTGTGTTTATCTCCAGGATTTTGATTTTTTTAGGCTGACATCTAATTACATGGAGCGATCCCACGCGTGACCAATCGTTCTATAAGAGATTGTATGGAGTTCAATAGGAAGTTGTATAAATTTGAAATTCGATCGAAAACTCTGGAAACTAGCTTCATGATTCCTTTCAAAACCTAAAATATAGCTTTAAACCTCGTTTAGTATCGTTTTTCTATCGTTCTAGCGATACATACAATGTGACACAATGATGCGATAACGCACGAAATCCCGCCAGCAACACGGCTCGCTGATCTGACTAGGTTTTGCGCTATGCATCGGAAGTGAACAAAGTGGAAATGCAGTTCTCAGGCTACGAAGATTGCAATGAACGTTTCCTGCTCGGGCGGGGGTACTCCCGGATAAAAATGACCGGGGTGTTCGTCGTACCTTTTAGGGGTTAACAAAAGCTTTTTAACCTCAAAAGGTCCATAGCCAGCTTTTGCGGTACCTTTAAGGGTATTGAGTGAAAAAAAAAATATGACAGGAGATAATGTGTTGTGCAAGAATTGGTACCTCTTAGGGGAGAAAAAAATTCGGGCCACGCCCACAAAACAGGGTCTTATACATCTTAGGGATTCTTTTAAAAATTTCGGACGAACACTCCGTCCTTTTTATTTGGGAGTCTCCCCGGAGTTTCCTGTTGCAATCATGCTGATGATTCGATTTGTTACTGCTTGCTTCGGACCATATATCGCCCAATGTGCATCGCCAAATGACATGGTAGTCGAATACAATTACGTTCTTTCTTGTTGTTTTACTTGTAGACATAACGATATTCCATGGCAGCTAAGGAAGAACTACATGAATAGAATGGCAAACGTGACTTTAGACAAGAACAACCCAGACCTCCACACTGATATACCCAGGCTCAGAGAGGGTGGTGTTGGAGCTCAGGTAAGTGGACTGGAATTTAAACAGCTCCCGAGGCTCCAAACTAGGCCGCGTCGGCTACGAGTATAGAGCAGGCATGGGGAAAAGGGATATGGAGATGGACTCTGCGCTCTTCATTGGGTAAAGGGAGTGCATGTTGATTTGAGGTCCTGTGAGGCAGAGATGAATTCTGCGCCTTTATGTTCCTCAGTGTGGTCATAAACCAGAAATGTAACTTAGGGGATGAACAGATTGAGCCCTCGAATACCGAAGCAAAACGATTGGTTTTTGCTATTAAAAAAACGAACAAAACAATACACCTATTTATCGCCAGGCCGCCTTTTGAATCAAAGGTAAAAATACTCAGTCATTGTGCGAACGTTTTAATAGCTATCGCGAATCAGATCTTTTCTTGGGAAGTTATCAAGAACTGGAATAATGCGTATTTTTGATTTAAACCATCTCACCTACCCAACCTCGTTACCAGGGCTTTTCCCTAAGAGATTGGGAGGCGCGGGAAAAATCGGCTGGTCACGTAGTAAAACGCCTTCGCCGCCTTCCCCCCACCCACCCCCCCCTCCCAATTCCAAAGGGAAATGTCCTGGGAACGCGGTTGCATACTTACCCTAAGTAACCTTGACGATTTTTGGTTTGTTTTTTTGCACAGTTCTGGTCAGCATACGTATCTTGTTCCAATCAGTACAAGAACTCGGTTCGCTTGTTCCTCGAGCAGATTGACGTCATCCTCCGCATGGTTGAGAAGTACCCGGATGATTTTACGTTCGTAACAACTGCCAAGGGAATAAAAGATGCACACAAGAACGGAAAGATTGCCTCCATGATTGGCATAGAGGGGGGTCACGCTATTGACAGTAGCTTAGATAGCCTCCGAATGATGTACGAGCTGGGAGGGCGGTACATGACGCTGACCCATAGCTGTCATACACCTTGGTAAGTCACTTTCAGGAACACAAGGCTGTTTTTCAACTGAGTGTCTCAAATCCTTAATTACAACGTAATTACAACGACCAATGGTATGAAGCCGAAACAACCAATCTTAATCAACCAACGAGAACGACTGGTTTTTCATTTCCAACTTTGCATCATTGCTTGATGGGTGGAGCGACGTTTTTGAATAAATTACAGAGCACAGTAAACCAAAACTGAATCCAATTCAGACAGCCTTCGATGCTCATTTTAAAAACAACACTATTTAAAGTGTGGTGTTACTTTCCAGTGACCAAACCTTTGAGAAACGTCTTATTTTTCAGGGCCGATTCCTGTACACCCAAAAACCCAGAACATAATGGCCTGACGGAGTTTGGAAAAGTAAGAAGTCTGCTGCTTTATCTAAACGCACAGTAGGGATACATTCCTTAGATAGATTAGAAGCCGCTTAACTTAGCATGGTGTAACCTTCATAATCTAAGATCGGATTATTTTTGTCCTGCAGCGAGTCAATTGTTTACCTTAGAGCGATCAGCGTCCCATTTTTTTTTTCTCTCAAAATAGGAATAACTTGTAAATGACTAAATCCCCTAAAGAGGATTTTCGTCTATCTTTTCGTTCATTCAGTTACACTGCATCCCCAGAGTGTGTTAAACAAGAGTATGCGCCGATAACGTTGTTTTGTGACGATAAGAGTGCGAAGTACACGTGTTTATGTAAATGTGTATTTTCTGCCCCTTTCATTTAAAAAATATATATATAAGAATGAGTAGAAAGCAAAAGTTCGTGTTTTGAGCTTGGGAGAAAACTAACGATTAACAAGTGTTGTATTGCACCACCTGCAACGAATGCAACGAAACTGAATCTCGTCATCAAAATTGCGCTTGGTCAGGACCACCATCTATACATGATTGCAGTGGTGTACTTTTCATTTCTACGTCAAGCCTCCTGTAATCGGACAAGCTTGTAGATTTGGAATACGTTTTCACTCCTGACAGGTTGAAAAATAAAGAGTTTGTACGTTGCTGGGGTTACGACTAAGTGTTCACTCAAGGAAAAGGTTCTTTAGTGGACTTCTAACTGTGCTTTCATCAAATTTACCTGGAATAAACCTCTTAAAATTAATTAATCTCGGAAGGAAAATCTACTTATGCGATAATACGATAAGATGGTTGAAAATGGTGTTGGCAATATATATCAGTAATTTCACTTGTTTTCTTTAGATCCTGATCAAGGAGATGAATCGTATTGGAATGTTTGTTGACATGTCACATATCTCCCATAAGACAATGAACGATGTTCTGGATGTCACCAAAGCGCCAGGTATGAAATCGCACCGGCTTTAAATAGAGTTTACGGAAACACGTTAGCGCACTGCGAATGAGGCTTTACAGTGAAAAACCAAGTAATGTACTGGTACTTAACAAAAGCAGTTAGAGTTTTCACAAAATATGTCATAAGTTAGGTGCGACTTTGTCTTCACAAACCTCACAAAGTTCATACTTTACGTTTAACTTTAAGTTTATCAATCTTTTAATAACCTGTAATTATAAACCTTTTAGTAATTTTCAGTCATTCCTCTGCCTACGCACTGTGTAACCACACCAGGAACGTTCCCGATGATGTCTTGAAGAGAATGGTGAGGAGCAGTTATTTGTCAGTTACTCATTGGTTATTGGATTCATCGATCGAACAATTGATTTAATGATTCGTTGATTCGTTCAATTTTATTTTTCATCCATTCGTTCATTCGTACGTCTTTAATTTATTCATTGCTATCTGATTATTTCGTGCGCTAAATCTAATAGTCTTTTCGCTCATTCCCTTATGGATTGATTCGCTCTTTTGCTCGTTTGGCGGCTTACTTGTTCGTTCTCTTGGATTGATTGATTAATTTATGCATTAACTCAAACGTTCATTCCCCTGTTCGCTCACTCTGCATTTCCTTCCTCCATCCATCCATTCATCCATCCATCCATCCATCCATCCATCCATCCATCCATCCATTCATTCATTCATTCATTCATTCGAGTCATTCAATCAATCGTTCATTCGATCGATGATCGATCTTTCGTTCATATATTCATTCATACATTGCTCCATCCAATCTCTCTCTCATTTTTTCGTTTACAACTTCCTCTTTTTTCTTTCTTTTTCTCTTCCTTTCTCTGTATCTTTCTGTCCTCTGGACTTTTTTTCCTTTTTTCACTAATCCGTTGGTTTGATATGTTAACTCATAAACTGACAGTTCTTATTCCACTAACATTTGTTCCAGCCCAAGAATGGTGGAGTAGTTATGGTGAACTTTTACAATGATTACCTGACGTGCAGTCCGGAGGCAAAACTGAGTGATGTGGCAGGTAATCACCATAATGTTATACTGTACATAATACATACTTATTTTGCCTGTGAAAGTCACGCACATTAACATGAGTTTTTCCAGGAAATTCAGTATATCTGATTAAATAGCTGCAAAACTATTGTAGATTTTTTTCAAACTGTTATAGCAAACTTTGGGATGTGTAAAGTCATAGATTTTTTTCACACTAGACAGGTATGAAGATAGTTAATTCAGGTGCTTTGTTTTCCAGATCTGTCAAAGCACTTTTGTAGAGACTATAAATGAGGTCTCGCCGTTTTTCTTGTGGAAGAGGGCACAGAGGACCCCGAATTCTCCTCTGAAGGATTTAGGCATTTCTAACTTGCATAAGCTTCCTCTGCACGTTTATAAGAATAAAGCTATGAGGACCACCAAATTCTCGTTCTCTTCAATCTCCATGTCAAATCCACTCACTCGATCATCTTTTCACCGAACTAAAATGGGTGCTCAGATATAAGGACTCAATATACTAAGCTGCTGCGTCGTTTTTGCGTTGTCTTTCACTAGATCATTTGTTAAGGTTGCGTTTCCTGTAAAATTGCCATATAGTATCTTCGTATTTTGACACTTATCTACAAACTAGGACGAAGTTTCTGTAATTGAGCCAAAATAAGATACAACGGGATATGTGACGACCAAATACGATAAGCACATTTCGAGATTGAATTGTAAATCGAGTTATGTATTACCGGGATTATTGGTCACTCACAGGAAAGGAAATGAAATACACTGTAATGACGGTAACACTTGGTACATAAGTAAGCAGTGTGTTCGTTGCTTATTTCAGATCATATTGATTACATCAAGAAGGTCGCTGGCATTGACCATGTAGGACTTGGTAGTGATTATGATGGCGTACCAAGGTATTATTTTTTCACGTCTATTTTGCTGTGACATGAATTTTCAAAGAGGTCGTTAATTAGGCCTTGTGACCATGAACATCAAACAAATGTGGAAACGTGAATCTTCTGTCTCTCTGTTATCAGAGTTCCTGTTGGACTGGAAGATGTCTCGACTTATCCAAAACTAGTAGAAGAGCTGCTTCGACGAGGATACAGTGACGAGGAGGCGAGTAAAGTGGTGGGAAAAAACCTGATTACTGCAATGGAAAAAATGGAACAGGTAAACAGGTGGCCACAAAATCATTCACCAAATTGTCACGATGTCCGTGAACAGGATTTCCTTGCTATGTTTCGTCTTTACATAACAGATATCCTGCAATGAACTGTAGGTGGTTTGGCAAGATTGGTCGAACGTCTTTCAAGGCGTCCCCTAAACACAGTTCATCTCCTTCAGTGTCAAAATGCGTTTGTTGACGATTTATTAAAAAATGAAACGATTATCCTACTCAATGTTTCGAAATATTATCTAATATTAGGCGACTCAAACAATTTCTCAATCTTTCCTGACTTAAATAAGTAACTGGTTTCTTTGGCAGCCGATATTTGTGTCCGCGTCACGCAGGTTTTCTTCCCAACACGACTTTGTGAGACAGCCGCGAAGGAAACTTATTGTTAAATTAGCAAGAGTGACTCTATGTTGGTCTTTTTATACCTGCAAAAAAAGTTATTATATGTCTCCTTTTACTTTCGCTTAGAACATAGTTGACCTTACAGATTTTATGGATAAATAATTAAACCATCTACTTGTTGTAACGCAAAACCAAAGCAATTACAATGGTCAATCACAACACACTTAGAGAACACAATGACCCAGGAAGCAATACTCGTAACCAATACGTGCGAATGGTTTTGCATCTGATTGGTTAAGCAGTTGGGGTGAGGTTTTTAAACCAATCACAGTGTAGAAATGCAGCTACTGGCAACTGAAAACCACACTGTTAATACTCATGCTTATGTTTCCTTTTCCTATTGTAGGTTGCTGCTGATATGAAGAATGTCAAGCCCTTTGATAACTACATATATGTAAACAAAACCTGTCGGCCACCCGTTGATGGCTTTTGATTTTTCCACGGGACAACCCTTGCAGGGAGCGAGCAAGTTGCTTCCTGGAACTGCCTTTATTTTCATATAGATTTATGTAACTAGACATTATATTAATCTGATTTTGAATGCGGAGTCAGTTGAAATTGGTTAGACTTTCTGTATATTACCTGTAGTTTTCCTGTTCACATGTAAACATTCATCAAAAGGCGATAACAGAATCTGCTCTGGTCTTGACAAAGTTTCATTAAAACGCGTTATAATGATCCATTTGAAAGACTGAAATAAAATAATTATTTGTACAACTGGTAATGTCCGATCAAAAATGTTCCAATAAGTCCTCGAGAGGTGTGAGGTGAAAAAGCCTAGTTAAAATATTTATTAGCGACTTCCGCTAAAGAAACGAGGTCTGCCATGAGCATATACTAGCGACAAAGTAACGAGTTGTTCCTTGAAGATGGTGAGAAAAAAAACGTTTCATTATTATATTGCATGGTAGTCTTCAGGTAAATCTGCCGGAGCGTTCTTAATAGTTCTTTCTTGGTCTGGATTTTGCCGTACGGACTGATAAGCCGTGTAGTCTTTTTTTGTTTTCGAGTGCCATCTAACAAGCTACTAACTAACCCAGAATAAACAAGCTAACAATTCTGTCCACTGGCAACCCAAGCTGTGAGTGATGATTATCTTGCGTAGATCATCTTCCAGCTTCTTGCGTAAGAAAGGTCATGGCGAAATTGTAAAACTGTGTTTAGCTCTTATTAACTGAGCTTAGTCGGTCGGTATGGGAGAATCTTGACCGAGGTCGTGAGTACAGACCGAACGCAGTGAGGTTTGTACACACGAGCGAGGTCAAGATTCTCCCATACAGACCGACTAAGCTCGGTTAATTAGATGTTTATTATATGGCGCAAACAAGAACAATTTAATTCTTTTAATGTAACTGGTTTGTACTAACTGACATTTTGCTTGCGAACGGCGACGACCTGAATTTAATTCTGCCAATGTTTGCTCGTCCTCTTTACTTTTTTTTTCTCTTTACTTTTTTTTTTAAATATTGTTAGATGAAAACAATCAATGATTTTATATTTTAGTTTACAACTTTTTCACTGCCAAACATTACCGGTCTATATGGGAAAATCTAGATCACTTTCAATATCGATTTCAGCCAATCAAATTCGTGAATTTGGTAGTTCCTAGTCCTTGTGAGACAGCCATACAATAAACGGGAATATTTACGATCGGTTTTTGGAGATACAAACACTAGAAAGCTCTTCATGAAAATGCTTTATCTTACTTCCACAGTGTATTGCTTGTTGTCTGTTCGCTTTTTCTGCTAGTTTGAAGCGATTTTAACCACTTGCTAGGTTTTCTGGCACACTTCTTGTCCACCTGATTGATTTTTCTAGACTTCGACTGTCAACAACTGATTAGACTCAACTGTAGTCAACTCTGATTCTCAGATCTTGCTAGCTTTCTTTAATGACCAGATTGGAACCATCAAGCAAATATCAAAATAACACTCTCTAGAAATTTTACGGACTTGCGCAGTTCACGTTTGGTGAGGGCACATATTCAATCTCGTTCTCAGAGCCTATGTGTCTTTTGGTCAGCGCCAAGACACGGAGCCCTGGAATAATCAATTTCCAGACTGCAAGATTGGCACATATTGCCTTTGCATATTATTCTTCAACCGAGCAAGCAGTATCCAAACCATTCTCCTTCCAAGTTTATACTATCATTCCAAGGTTTTCTGGTCAAAACAAAGGCACACAAGCAGTAATAAAATAATAACGATCATTTTGACCTGATAAATTAACATATAACCTTAACAAGAATGTACAAAAAGACTTCCTTGAAACAACTACAAGGTAAAATCGTAGAATAAAGGCGGACTTGCTAGTTACCCTCTTTTTCCATAAATGAATAGTAAGTTGTTTACAACTTTCAGCATAGAAATTAATTCAAAAACACGTTAAAAAAATGTCCTTTGAGGTGTGCGGTAATAAAAGAATTATTTAACAATTATTTCAAAAAATAAAGCTTAATAACTTTAGGATTCGTAACTTACAGCATATTTTTCTTAAAACTACCTAAAATGCAAAATTATTTACAATTGTTGTAATCACGTTCAAACCAATTTTTACATTCAATCTTGGCATTTTTGTAATAACTTCAATCCCACACCTCTACCTCAGAAACGAATTAGCATACGTTCATTTATTACACAAAGCTTCACCTGTGAAAGCGAGTGTTCTTTTACTGTTTTAAACAATATCAGCCAGAAGCCAGGAGGTGTTCGTTCCCGGGACATTTTCGTTTAGCTTACTTCTTGTCATTTCTGTGTCCGCTTCCTTATCTTTTAGTTTTATCGAACATCTTTTAGTTGTAAACAATCATTCATAAAACATTCAGGAGAGCGATATACGTTGCACCAAGTGAACATAGCTCCACTTTTTCTTGGCTTCCCAACATCGATGTACGGCATTCAAAATCGATGCATCGCGGATACAAAATTGATTTATGTTATTTTGAAATTCATATCAAATTTGAAGGAAAACGACCAATTTTTTGAGTTTAAAAGACATGTTTCGACAGAACTTCTGTCATCTTCAGTTAAATGAATGATTACAAAGCAAGTTGAATAATAAGTAGGCAAAAATGCTAATTAAGAACAAATAGTAACAACAGAACGTGAAAAGGTGTAAATTAAAAGGATAATTTTAGATTTACATGGTGTAATTGTTGATTGAGGCAAGGTAGTTCTTTTTGANCGGACCACTTGATCCTGAGACGAGCGCACTAACCATGAGGCCATCGCTAAGAGTTCTTACGCGTGATCTGCACATGTGAAAAATCCGAAGGGTGAAAACGACAACAAACTGAGTCATCCAAGAAGTCTACAAACTAAAATGCTTAGCGTCCGCTTTAGGCTTAATTTCTGACATCGTGCAAAGGAACCTTTCAAGCGTCAACATGCGCGTAAGCCTCGCGCAAATTTTTTCTTATTTCAAGTCAAGCGCCAAGCTTTCTTTTAACAGATGAAGACATCCAACGTTTTTCAACTGGTATCAGGTACTTACTCTGATTCTAGCGAAGCCACAGGACACTTGTACTGCGCAGTTGAAAACAGGCAGATGTCTGCAAACTGTCTTACTGAAAAAGACAAAACTCGAATTCAGCTCTAAACTATGAGTAGTCCCTCTTTCGCGTAGTCCGTCGAGCGAGACCGCAAATAAACCGCGAGGAGAAAATCCTGAGGTCGAGAAGCGCGCGAATTTTTCGCCCCCAGGATCTCGCGCGGCCATTTTCTTTCGCGTCACGCTCGACGGATTGAGCGATAGAGGGACTACTATAGTATGATTAAGCTCCGGAATTACGTGATTCAACACGAATAACACAAGACTGGGGAAATGTCCTATTTCATAAATTCAAGGTTTCTAAGGAAAACGTTGGGCTGTAAAGCACTTGTTAACCTCATCTTTCCACTTGAAGTTGTTAAACGCAAAGTAATGGACCTTTTAACCGGTGCCACGCTTTTCCGTTTTTTTCATTCAAAACAAAAAATAAACTGCACCGATTGATTATTATGCTGAATTTAGTAAGTATGTGAATTTAGTAAGTACGTGAAGTTTCAATCGAATCCGTTGCAAACTGATAACAATATGGGACACCTTACTTGCCACTTTTTTACACAGAAATGTATGCCAGGGGTCAATACTTGCACCCCCCCCCCCCAGCCCCCCTTCCCCACCCGGCATACATGTACATTTTCTTGTAAGTTTGGGGTCCTACATTTTTATGAGTTTGCAACGGATTTTTCCAAAACGTCCTAGATTTACTAAATTCGGCTTGATAAATTGAACTGGCTTTTCGTTTATTTGAAAAATACGAAAAATTGTTGATCTTGCGAGACATCGGTAACCGAAGGTCCACTGCTGTAGCAGGTCAATGAAGCCCACGTTGACTTTGCTCCAACGCCGGAAGGACTAACGCCCAAAACATCCTATCGCTACCTTGCTACGACGGTCAACTTCCCTTTATGAACTTCAAGTTAATTTAAAAATGACTACATGTAGATAAATCTTTATCACCTCTTACTCAAAATAAACCCTTCACACCTAAAGAGTAGTTACAATGCAATGCAATGCAATGCAATACAATACAATACTTTATTTAGACACGTCACGTCTAAGAGCTGTACAAGATCGTTCGAAATACGTACGCGTATTCCTAAAATACAAAGATTTACGTGATTTACAAGTTATAAAATCTAAAACATTAAAAATTTTCCGTCATCTGATACACACCAATTAACTATTAACTAAACGTCACGACTTGTGATTCGTAGTAGTTTTTACTTCACTTACTTGTGACTTTTATTTTCTTGCATGTCTTGGAAGAGCCATTTTCGATACGCACATTAACTCCTATCTCCTCTCCGTGATAATACATCTGTCAGCAGTTTAAAATATGTAAATATACACGTATCAAGCTAGGCACTTCAACTCTGTACAACTGCACAAGAACCCGAGACCTAATTGAAACCCGGGATGTGAAACTGCTGTTATTGGAGAAAGATGGTTATCTCTTTGTAAAGTCCTGGGCACAAATTTTCCTTACGGGATATTTTTCTCCAGTTTTAGGGCTTATTGTTAATCAACGAGCGATTCCGAGAAGAGAATAGCATAACAGGACATAACAGTGGTACAGAAATGACAGGGCACAGAGTGACGGATATACCACATGCTGACTTAACATGCTAACAGGGTCTGTCAGCGATGCTTTGCTAGCTTGCTTAATACTCTTTTCCAGGCGCAAAAGGTGAATCAACTTAAGCTTTGAAAGTTCAAGGGAGCCCTAAAAACACCATCCTCATTCATAGAAATGACTTTTACAATCATTAAATGTTAAAATTCAGAAATTCTGTTAAAAAATATAGAGATTAGAGCTAGAGATTAAATTTGGCCTCTGCAAATTACATCACGTTGTGCACAATTTCGTGTTTCAATCATCCTGGAAGAAGGGTGAAACGAATAATTTATAATTTGCACGGTACTAGACTTGGCTACATGTAACTTCAAGGCAAGCATCTCACCTCTTTGTCTAGCGAAGCTTCAATGTGGAGCTTGTGAGCACCAAACATGAATTCTTTGTCCGTCTCGGCCCAGGGTTGTTGCTAAGGAAAGAAAGGTTGCTGTCAGAAAATTGGATTGAGTTAGCTTTCATATGATCACACACAGTGCCATTCTCCATCAGCACTGCTGATGCCTGCAAAGAGTGTGACAGGGAAGGGAAGGCGGGGGGTGGGGTGAACACATTGGAGAAGCTTAACGACAATGTTAAGCTTCTCCAATGTTAGTGTCTTTGACTAAAAGATGTTCATATCTTTAGGCTGGGATGATATTCTACCGCTGACAACAAGATGAATCATTGACTGTAACCACTTCAATCAGTTTTTGTTCCTGAAATCTTCTGCTCAATACGATAAAATTAGAAAGAGACCGCACTATAGTATTTCATACATCTACAGGTGTGTATTTCACAAGTCTACATTATTTAATATGTAGTAAAAGCAGAACAGTTAAGTCGAGGCAGTAAACAACAAAAAGAAATGTCCTTCAATAAAGCTGTCAAAAATTTCTTTAGTTCTACCATTCTTTACATGGTATAAAATCTGCACACCTACATACACTCATACATGCAGGCTTTAAGCCAGATTGGTGTCCAAGCATCCTGTGGAAGGCCACTTTATAAAATTTTTTGTTTTTATTTTTCATATGTTGCCTTATAAATTGCTCATTAAAAATTATGCTCCCTCATCATAGGCCTGCAACGCGTGCAGAGAGCTAGATTATAATGCTCTCTGCACGCATTGCAGGCCTATGATGAGGGAGCATAATTTTGAGCACGCCCTATAGGGCAGTTTGGATGCCAACTTTTCAAATCCTGGCTAAAAGCCTGCATGTGCCCGTACATGTACACGAAGCTTTGTAGCTTTGAAAACTATCGAACTATCATTTAAAATAAAGGTTGATTGATTTATTTATTGAGCCAACAACACTCACCTTTGGCAAAGGGCGTTCAGGTGCATAGGTAATCTTTCTGATAGCGAGCCTTACAGTGTCACTAAAAAGAACAGTAAACAAATTTTTCAAAGACTTTTTAAGTAAAGTCGGTGTAAACCTTGTGTAGATTCCCACTCTTAGGAATAAGAGTTTAATTAAATACAGTGTAAACATGAAATTTAGAACCATGGATCAAAAATACCATTCAGACTAATCACCTGTGAAACAATTAAGACCTTTTAGTCCACAACAAACAATGCTCACTCTTTGATTCAATGTATGAAAATTTCTACGATAAATCTTCTAAAAACATAAGTTTGAAATTTTCTTTGTTTTTAACCTCCCATAAACGACCCCTTGACAGATAATAGAGTGGAAATTGGATATGGTGTTATCACATTCCTGGATAGTACAAGAGACAGAAATTTCTCAATGAGAGGTACCGTATTGTTTCTCAAAATTGACTACTCATAATTGTGAATAACACATTTAAAACATTGGGTAAGTCTCTGCAGTTTCCATACACTAATGAGGCAAAATTTTGACCCAATAAGGTCTAAGCTCTCGTACATGTAAGCAACCACCTCCCCTAAGTGACCACATAGGCTTGAAATTTTGGGTGGTCGCTCACAGGAGGTTTGACTGTAGAATTTCACAAAGATCTTGTGAAAATAATTTATATTACCTGTACACCAAAACAGACATTTTGAGGCTTAACACCCTAAGAGGCACCAAAACTGTTTTTTTTTAACCCCTAAAAGATATGGTGAGCACTCCCGTCCTGTTGATATGGGAGTCCCCCCCCCCCCCCCCCTTTCTCCTCCTTGGAAGATCGCTACTTTCAAGATTGGTGAATAATAACACCAAAATACTATCATAACTGTCTGAGCATTAATATTGAGGGTTGCTGCTTTTAGAACATTTTGTTATGTTAATGAAGTACAGTAGTTACCTTTTTCGAGGTTTTTCTTCCATTGACTCACTGACATATGTTTTTAGTTCATAATCTACTCCACAAGGCTACAGAACAAAGAAATGTGATCATTTAATTGATATGCAAAATAATGGGCTGGACTAACAGTAAGGATCAATACTGAAATTTGAAAAGAAAAAGGTAATGTCTGTACCCCTTCCCCTGGAAGGGATGCTAGTTCATCACAGCTGGTTACAGCTAAGCAGTTTGACCACCCTGCAGTGCTGGTGTTTTAGCTCAGCAAGTACTGGAGATTTAGTTTGCACCCCAGTTTTCCTGCTTAGAGCCAAAAAAACATAGAGGGTTGGGGTAAAAGAACATAATTACAGACTCTCCCCTACTCCCAAGGTTGCTTTTTTCCACTCGCCAAATCCAAGGTAACGTTTGCTAATTCACAGTCATGAAATACACAAGTCTGTGTCTGCAGGTTACATTTTGTCAACTGACCAAACAATATGGTGGCAGGGAAAGTTTAGCATCACATGTAGGGGGATAGGGTTGTAATAATAGTGCAGCCATCAAATTTACATGACAGTAAGCTCTGGCCATGAGGCCCACCCTCTTCATAACAAATAAACTTTTAATGCTTAACAAATAATCAAATCCAAATTTTTCCTTTACCACTCTAGTCAAGAGGGTAAATTTACAACAAAACAGCCAATGCTAATTCTTTAGAATGAGATTTTCTGTTGCTCCACCAAATCTCAACCTTGCCCAGCTCCTGATCATAACTAGAATTACCCTTCCATTAGTAATGATTTGTGCGGTAAAAAACAATTATTGTACCATACCTTGCCAGTGTCCCCTGGAGCTGGCTGCAAAGTAACTGATGAAGGAGAAAATGGGGGTAACTGAAAGAAAAAACAACTTCAATTTATTCATATTTTTCACATTTTGAGACTTGCCACAATCCCAACCTTGAGGTTACTGTGTTCTCTACTGCTTGAGCATATCCCAGTTGCCACACCATGAACTAGCCAGGAGTGTTAGTTTTTCTACTCTTCCTGGAATCAGATGCTGGTCAATAACAGCAGGGTTGCAACCCACTGGAACAAAAAACATCCTTGATTTTTCCCTGGCTTTTTACTGATTGTAAAGCAATTTTCACTGACCATGTAGGATGATTATTCTTGCCATGAATTGACAAAAACAAGGATGGCTCAGATAATTTTAAAAGCAAAATTGCCTGGTCTACATGAAAACATCTAATAAAATAATTTTAAAAAATAAAAATTCCCTGACTTTTTCTGACTTTGAACAGGAATTTAGAAATTCCCTGACTTGATACAAAACTCCTTGACTTTTCCCTGACCTTGAATAAAACCTTATTTTCCCTGCCTTTTCTTGACCATGACAACCCTGAACAGTCCTGCACTCCCCTGGCCCTTCCTGCCAACCATTTTAGCAGGTTGCCTGCTGACATTTCAAAATGGCTTAGTCTGGAGTCAACATGCTAAACCTAAGCCCGCATCACATTCGCCACCACTCTGACCCTCTCCCCTGTAAGGTTACATGTAAATGTAGAAATCAGTGCTTCCCCTTCCTCAGGGCAAGGAATGGCCTACACACCTATTACCCCCTACCCCCGAGTTACTCATTCCCCCTCCCATCCCACCCTGACCTACCCACACAACAATATGGACATGCCAAGACATGCCAGTTGTCAAACACGTTTTTCAGATTTTAAGTGCATTGCTCAGATATGTAAAAGCTTTTATTTATTAAGAGTCATACCTCAAATTTGAAAGGATATGCATTAGCCCCAAGCTTTTTTCGCAGTCTTTCTTGAAGCCTCGTGAGCTGTACCTCGTCCTCTGGTTTTGGTGGATAAACTTGGGCAGTCGCCTGTCGGGATATAATTAAACACATTATCACTAAATGCACAAGGTACATTGAACGTAAGTAACAGTCTTATTTGTTGATTATCTGGTGATTTTATATTTCCTATTCATTGAAACACTTTCTTTATATTGCGGCTGGCTCTTTTTGAATGTGTTCATTACAACAGAGATTTTGTTATACTGTCTGGCACAAGGTTTAAGGTTCCACTGTCAAACTATGATGTGCACAACAAAGAGTTGTGGCAAACTCAATTACAATGTAGCAAGTTTGCTATTGAAAGTATTAAGTAAAGTGAGGTTCCACAAAATATGCACCCCCCTCCACTGAGGGAATTGGGAACACTGGAGAGGTGTGGTGGAGGGTGGGGACCAAAGGCACACGCCTTTTTCAACAAATATAAGTCCAAGCGTTGTTGCAAGAATTTGACAGGCTTTCAAGACAAAAAGTGGTAAGTAGAAATGATGTGTAAGAAATAAAGATAGAATGGGGTGAAGTCTGAAAAAATAATTTAAGGAAGGTTATGAGGCATTGAAGAATAAGCCTAAACAGATCAGAATTAAATGATTTTTTTGTGGTCACCACATACAAGAGTCCACAAGAGTCCTCATGGGCCTGATGAGGATGTGTGAGTGACCACATACAGATCCACAAAACTGTTTTAAAAAATACAGTATCTTCATGTAGAGATATTGAAATGGCTCTGTGCATTTGTATGTGATTGTCAACAAGATTGTCAATAAATAAAATCCCACATGTGCAACTACAATTTTCACTCACTGCATCCATAAAAATAATTTAACTTATGCCTACAGTACTTCAAGATCACTTGCACCCAAATCACAAGTACAGGTACAGGTACAGGAGGCATTAAAGATCCTAAGAAATGTAAGCTCGCGCATTAAACTGTTTTCTTAGGTCAGCACTTGCCATCTCCTTCTGTCTACAGTTATATGTGCTTGTTCGTAGAAAATTAGAGTAAGGCATTTAAGGGCAACTGACCTGATAAATTTGCACTTGATAAATGTTAAGTGACAGTGACAAGGAATGTGATCTCTTAAAAACAATTTGTTCATATACATGTACATTGACAATAGTCTACAGTAAGTTGTTAGGGGTTTCATTAACGTTTTCAGCAGGAGGGTAACTGGTTTTCACAGACAGGCAACACTATTAGAACCAAAAGTTCTTCTTTGTAAGAAAAACTTTCTGCTAGACGGTCAAACCAGCCAGGCAAATGTCCTCACAGCCAGTCACTTTGCCTGGTGCCTGGCCCTTAATGAAACCCTGAGTAGTAGAAGCAAAGAAGATTATCAACAAACCAGAAATAGATCTTTTCTGAATGTAAGGCCAAGGACATCCAAATCTTCACGTCCATATCTACCGATAATAACATAAAAATGACACAAGTCCAATTAAAATTGAAGACTGAACACTCTAGGACAAAAATAACTGGACTATCCTCCAAGGTCAAACTATCTAAAGTGTAGGATTTTGTTAAAGAACTACGACAGAATATCTGATCAGAATATCAGTTTTTCGTGATCTAAGTAGCAAACAATGAAACAATATATATAATACTCTAATTTCACAACCCCAAGTTTCATAGTTGTATAGACTCAAAGAGGCATAAAAACTGATCCTCATTAACTTACAAATTTCTAACACGACTGCTACATGTACATGCATGCACAATCTACTTGTACATAGAAAATAATGATTATAGCAAATATATGGCTGGCCACAACAATTAATTTATCATAAAGAGCTGAAAGGGTAATTTGTAATTGTTCAATAGATACACATTTCTTACCTAAATGCTGCCAGGACATGTGCAAATACTGAAATAATAATTAAAAACATCTTCTTTATTTCAATGTGAAGATTTTTACCAGTTACGTATTTTTTCATATAAAAGCTATTTTTCTACTCGTAACCTACAGTCAGCTGAGTCATTTTGGAGGGGTTTTTTGTGAACCCAAGGGCAAGTAAACATTAAAATGAGTAGGAGTACAGAAAAGCAGAGATATTATACACAATCGAAAATGTAGACCAAACAAAATCATTATTTAAGAAATAGAAAACATGTACCATGTTTCTGTCCAGTTGTAGAAACACGAGTGGAAGTTTGGGAGAACAAGAAATGTTGTTTTCTAATATCTAATGTTAAGATTTCCAAGAAATGCCACTTGAGCAGTATCCTTTAGTGATAAAGGTTGTCCCAAAAATTCTTGAGCAACAATTATGACAATGTTTTTTCTGGTCTTGGAATGTACTGATTCATGGCAAGTAATTTATTTCTATTTTACTTTAATTATTTTTTATTGGCTTCCCAGTACTCTGTTCAAGCCCCCAAAATCACAATGTGTTTTTTTTTTACTTTGCCAGCAAAATTCAATGTTCTCACAAAAATAGTGCTCCCTTTGCAACCACATGTCCCTTTTGCCAGCGGTAAGACTCACTTGTGCACAGTTAGGTTACAAGAAGGGCTTGACAGCTATCAATTCCATTGGCCTGCACAAACAGCAGGTAATTCTGCACTGTACATGTATTTGAAACATCTTTTACCTTTCTTCCCATCTTTGACATAATCAGGCTCTATCAACACAACACCATCTACAAAAGTAAGAGAAAAAATGTCTTTCAGCCTGTCCATATTAAATCTCTATTTAAAGAGATGAAATACCTACTAGGCACTATATACATGTAAGCATGTACCTGTCTAACAACTTATTACATGACGATCATGGTAGAAAATTAAATAAAGCAGTTCAAAATGCTTGTTAAAACACGTGTTTCCAAATATTTACCTTACAGGCACAGAAGTCACTGAACAAACAACAAACATCCTCTTTATTACCCTTTTTTCATAAATTAATACAGAAATATATAAAATATTGCTAAAAATAAGGGTTCTGGCAACCCGAAATAACCACTAGGTGAAAAATGCCGGGTTGCCAGTTTACAAATTGGTTAGTCAAATTTTAGCTGGACACACATACAAAATATAATATACACCAGAAAGTAAAGAAGAAAAGAAGCTGAAATTGCACGTATAATCTATTACCTTAAATAAAAAACTGACAAAGCATAATGAGTTTAAAGTTACCAACGGAATTAATGTTAAAACTAAAAAGCTATTAATTATCAATATAGATGTAACTAAGCCTTACAAATGCTTTGGCTTCTAGCCGGTGCTAAAATTGTGCCTGCATCCAATTTAACTATAACTCCCTGTAGCAAAGCATTCTGAATGCTGACTAAAGTACATTGTAAAATTTACATAAGATTTATGGCCTACTTGGGAAGAAAGTCATTGAGAACGCATAACTTACCCACAGGGTCAATGTGGTCAATGTGATCCACAAAATCGCGCTTTCCCAAATAGGTGGTAATCTACGAAGAAATCAGTTTACAAGTGTGTAACTGCCACAAGAGCTCTTAAGCCAACTCAAAGCTTAATATATACTGCCTGCATGCCAGGCATATGTTCACAGAATTATTTATTAAATGTTACAGTGACAATAACTACAGTTTGGAATTTTTGAAAATTATAAGTTATAGTAAGTACTGCTGATGAGAGGTGTCTTGCAAGAGCCTGAGATTCTTAAAGTTGCGTTAAGTTTGATTTTTTTTTTAAGTTTGATGATGTTGGGCTGACCAAATAATGCACTAAGTACAACATCATGCCCCCTAATCTTCAATTTGTTGATTAATCAGTAATACATGGTCAAAGCATTGTTATTATCCAAATTTACAGGATGCTGACCACTACAAATTGTTCACCATCACTCAAAATCCTGAAGAGAATTAATGGAAGTTATGATTATGGTACTGTAATACATGCAGTTCATCTAGTGCTCATCTTGTCTTCATGTTTCCAAACAAATACAGTATGTTAATGAAGACATGAAGATAAGTATCAATAACTTCCATGCTTCAGTAAGTTTGTAGTATATTTACATGTAAGTGTCGACTATCCTCTTGGCGTAATTTTTATAAAAATACAATTACCTGGTACTAAGATTTTGGGAGGACAAAACTTGACAGTTGTTGAATATAAAGAGGAAAATTTGCAAGTTAATTAACACCTCATTCAAACATTTTATTTTATGCATCAGAAGGATATCTGCATGGCTAGCTAACAATTTCCTGCCAGTAATAACTTCTGTTATTGCGTTTCCTGTGTGTCCCAGCCAGAAACAATCAATATCAAAAGGTTATTCATCCAAAAAAATACTATTTGGTCTGCTAAAAAAAACTTCAGCAGAAATAGTAAAATTGCGATAGTCTGACGTTTCGATGTTTCTAACATCATTTTAGGCAAGAGTGAATTTTTTCTCACTTATTTAAATTCTTATGTGACATTTTCACTGGACTTGCCTTGAAAATGTCAGAAACATCAAAACTTCAGACTACTGTAAATAATTATTTACAAAAATACTGGAAATTAAGTGTCTTTTACAAGCACATTACAAGCCTTTTGGGCACGCATAAGAATTCTGAAAATGTCCCTTCAAGTGTTCAAACTCAATAAGTACAAAAACAAGCTGATTAAATATTCACTGGGAAAAGTACTTTCCACTTCTACAGAAAAAGGAAAAAGCTTGCCACACCCTGTGTCCTTTTTCTTACTCAGCGTACAGAAAATTTCATGTACCGGTACATGTACCCTAAATTTTTAAAATTGATCTTGACATTTTTTCCAGTAGTGCATATCACTTAACCAAAATCCTGGGGTTTTTTTTGTTGGAAAACGAANAAAATTCCCTGACTTTTTCTGACTTTGAACAGGAATTTAGAAATTCCCTGACTTGATACAAAACTCCTTGACTTTTCCCTGACCTTGAATAAAACCTTATTTTCCCTGCCTTTTCTTGACCATGACAACCCTGAACAGTCCTGCACTCCCCTGGCCCTTCCTGCCAACCATTTTAGCAGGTTGCCTGCTGACATTTCAAAATGGCTTAGTCTGGAGTCAACATGCTAAACCTAAGCCCGCATCACATTCGCCACCACTCTGACCCTCTCCCCTGTAAGGTTACATGTAAATGTAGAAATCAGTGCTTCCCCTTCCTCAGGGCAAGGAATGGCCTACACACCTATTACCCCCTACCCCCGAGTTACTCATTCCCCCTCCCATCCCACCCTGACCTACCCACACAACAATATGGACATGCCAAGACATGCCAGTTGTCAAACACGTTTTTCAGATTTTAAGTGCATTGCTCAGATATGTAAAAGCTTTTATTTATTAAGAGTCATACCTCAAATTTGAAAGGATATGCATTAGCCCCAAGCTTTTTTCGCAGTCTTTCTTGAAGCCTCGTGAGCTGTACCTCGTCCTCTGGTTTTGGTGGATAAACTTGGGCAGTCGCCTGTCGGGATATAATTAAACACATTATCACTAAATGCACAAGGTACATTGAACGTAAGTAACAGTCTTATTTGTTGATTATCTGGTGATTTTATATTTCCTATTCATTGAAACACTTTCTTTATATTGCGGCTGGCTCTTTTTGAATGTGTTCATTACAACAGAGATTTTGTTATACTGTCTGGCACAAGGTTTAAGGTTCCACTGTCAAACTATGATGTGCACAACAAAGAGTTGTGGCAAACTCAATTACAATGTAGCAAGTTTGCTATTGAAAGTATTAAGTAAAGTGAGGTTCCACAAAATATGCACCCCCCTCCACTGAGGGAATTGGGAACACTGGAGAGGTGTGGTGGAGGGTGGGGACCAAAGGCACACGCCTTTTTCAACAAATATAAGTCCAAGCGTTGTTGCAAGAATTTGACAGGCTTTCAAGACAAAAAGTGGTAAGTAGAAATGATGTGTAAGAAATAAAGATAGAATGGGGTGAAGTCTGAAAAAATAATTTAAGGAAGGTTATGAGGCATTGAAGAATAAGCCTAAACAGATCAGAATTAAATGATTTTTTTGTGGTCACCACATACAAGAGTCCACAAGAGTCCTCATGGGCCTGATGAGGATGTGTGAGTGACCACATACAGATCCACAAAACTGTTTTAAAAAATACAGTATCTTCATGTAGAGATATTGAAATGGCTCTGTGCATTTGTATGTGATTGTCAACAAGATTGTCAATAAATAAAATCCCACATGTGCAACTACAATTTTCACTCACTGCATCCATAAAAATAATTTAACTTATGCCTACAGTACTTCAAGATCACTTGCACCCAAATCACAAGTACAGGTACAGGTACAGGAGGCATTAAAGATCCTAAGAAATGTAAGCTCGCGCATTAAACTGTTTTCTTAGGTCAGCACTTGCCATCTCCTTCTGTCTACAGTTATATGTGCTTGTTCGTAGAAAATTAGAGTAAGGCATTTAAGGGCAACTGACCTGATAAATTTGCACTTGATAAATGTTAAGTGACAGTGACAAGGAATGTGATCTCTTAAAAACAATTTGTTCATATACATGTACATTGACAATAGTCTACAGTAAGTTGTTAGGGGTTTCATTAACGTTTTCAGCAGGAGGGTAACTGGTTTTCACAGACAGGCAACACTATTAGAACCAAAAGTTCTTCTTTGTAAGAAAAACTTTCTGCTAGACGGTCAAACCAGCCAGGCAAATGTCCTCACAGCCAGTCACTTTGCCTGGTGCCTGGCCCTTAATGAAACCCTGAGTAGTAGAAGCAAAGAAGATTATCAACAAACCAGAAATAGATCTTTTCTGAATGTAAGGCCAAGGACATCCAAATCTTCACGTCCATATCTACCGATAATAACATAAAAATGACACAAGTCCAATTAAAATTGAAGACTGAACACTCTAGGACAAAAATAACTGGACTATCCTCCAAGGTCAAACTATCTAAAGTGTAGGATTTTGTTAAAGAACTACGACAGAATATCTGATCAGAATATCAGTTTTTCGTGATCTAAGTAGCAAACAATGAAACAATATATATAATACTCTAATTTCACAACCCCAAGTTTCATAGTTGTATAGACTCAAAGAGGCATAAAAACTGATCCTCATTAACTTACAAATTTCTAACACGACTGCTACATGTACATGCATGCACAATCTACTTGTACATAGAAAATAATGATTATAGCAAATATATGGCTGGCCACAACAATTAATTTATCATAAAGAGCTGAAAGGGTAATTTGTAATTGTTCAATAGATACACATTTCTTACCTAAATGCTGCCAGGACATGTGCAAATACTGAAATAATAATTAAAAACATCTTCTTTATTTCAATGTGAAGATTTTTACCAGTTACGTATTTTTTCATATAAAAGCTATTTTTCTACTCGTAACCTACAGTCAGCTGAGTCATTTTGGAGGGGTTTTTTGTGAACCCAAGGGCAAGTAAACATTAAAATGAGTAGGAGTACAGAAAAGCAGAGATATTATACACAATCGAAAATGTAGACCAAACAAAATCATTATTTAAGAAATAGAAAACATGTACCATGTTTCTGTCCAGTTGTAGAAACACGAGTGGAAGTTTGGGAGAACAAGAAATGTTGTTTTCTAATATCTAATGTTAAGATTTCCAAGAAATGCCACTTGAGCAGTATCCTTTAGTGATAAAGGTTGTCCCAAAAATTCTTGAGCAACAATTATGACAATGTTTTTTCTGGTCTTGGAATGTACTGATTCATGGCAAGTAATTTATTTCTATTTTACTTTAATTATTTTTTATTGGCTTCCCAGTACTCTGTTCAAGCCCCCAAAATCACAATGTGTTTTTTTTTTACTTTGCCAGCAAAATTCAATGTTCTCACAAAAATAGTGCTCCCTTTGCAACCACATGTCCCTTTTGCCAGCGGTAAGACTCACTTGTGCACAGTTAGGTTACAAGAAGGGCTTGACAGCTATCAATTCCATTGGCCTGCACAAACAGCAGGTAATTCTGCACTGTACATGTATTTGAAACATCTTTTACCTTTCTTCCCATCTTTGACATAATCAGGCTCTATCAACACAACACCATCTACAAAAGTAAGAGAAAAAATGTCTTTCAGCCTGTCCATATTAAATCTCTATTTAAAGAGATGAAATACCTACTAGGCACTATATACATGTAAGCATGTACCTGTCTAACAACTTATTACATGACGATCATGGTAGAAAATTAAATAAAGCAGTTCAAAATGCTTGTTAAAACACGTGTTTCCAAATATTTACCTTACAGGCACAGAAGTCACTGAACAAACAACAAACATCCTCTTTATTACCCTTTTTTCATAAATTAATACAGAAATATATAAAATATTGCTAAAAATAAGGGTTCTGGCAACCCGAAATAACCACTAGGTGAAAAATGCCGGGTTGCCAGTTTACAAATTGGTTAGTCAAATTTTAGCTGGACACACATACAAAATATAATATACACCAGAAAGTAAAGAAGAAAAGAAGCTGAAATTGCACGTATAATCTATTACCTTAAATAAAAAACTGACAAAGCATAATGAGTTTAAAGTTACCAACGGAATTAATGTTAAAACTAAAAAGCTATTAATTATCAATATAGATGTAACTAAGCCTTACAAATGCTTTGGCTTCTAGCCGGTGCTAAAATTGTGCCTGCATCCAATTTAACTATAACTCCCTGTAGCAAAGCATTCTGAATGCTGACTAAAGTACATTGTAAAATTTACATAAGATTTATGGCCTACTTGGGAAGAAAGTCATTGAGAACGCATAACTTACCCACAGGGTCAATGTGGTCAATGTGATCCACAAAATCGCGCTTTCCCAAATAGGTGGTAATCTACGAAGAAATCAGTTTACAAGTGTGTAACTGCCACAAGAGCTCTTAAGCCAACTCAAAGCTTAATATATACTGCCTGCATGCCAGGCATATGTTCACAGAATTATTTATTAAATGTTACAGTGACAATAACTACAGTTTGGAATTTTTGAAAATTATAAGTTATAGTAAGTACTGCTGATGAGAGGTGTCTTGCAAGAGCCTGAGATTCTTAAAGTTGCGTTAAGTTTGATTTTTTTTTTAAGTTTGATGATGTTGGGCTGACCAAATAATGCACTAAGTACAACATCATGCCCCCTAATCTTCAATTTGTTGATTAATCAGTAATACATGGTCAAAGCATTGTTATTATCCAAATTTACAGGATGCTGACCACTACAAATTGTTCACCATCACTCAAAATCCTGAAGAGAATTAATGGAAGTTATGATTATGGTACTGTAATACATGCAGTTCATCTAGTGCTCATCTTGTCTTCATGTTTCCAAACAAATACAGTATGTTAATGAAGACATGAAGATAAGTATCAATAACTTCCATGCTTCAGTAAGTTTGTAGTATATTTACATGTAAGTGTCGACTATCCTCTTGGCGTAATTTTTATAAAAATACAATTACCTGGTACTAAGATTTTGGGAGGACAAAACTTGACAGTTGTTGAATATAAAGAGGAAAATTTGCAAGTTAATTAACACCTCATTCAAACATTTTATTTTATGCATCAGAAGGATATCTGCATGGCTAGCTAACAATTTCCTGCCAGTAATAACTTCTGTTATTGCGTTTCCTGTGTGTCCCAGCCAGAAACAATCAATATCAAAAGGTTATTCATCCAAAAAAATACTATTTGGTCTGCTAAAAAAAACTTCAGCAGAAATAGTAAAATTGCGATAGTCTGACGTTTCGATGTTTCTAACATCATTTTAGGCAAGAGTGAATTTTTTCTCACTTATTTAAATTCTTATGTGACATTTTCACTGGACTTGCCTTGAAAATGTCAGAAACATCAAAACTTCAGACTACTGTAAATAATTATTTACAAAAATACTGGAAATTAAGTGTCTTTTACAAGCACATTACAAGCCTTTTGGGCACGCATAAGAATTCTGAAAATGTCCCTTCAAGTGTTCAAACTCAATAAGTACAAAAACAAGCTGATTAAATATTCACTGGGAAAAGTACTTTCCACTTCTACAGAAAAAGGAAAAAGCTTGCCACACCCTGTGTCCTTTTTCTTACTCAGCGTACAGAAAATTTCATGTACCGGTACATGTACCCTAAATTTTTAAAATTGATCTTGACATTTTTTCCAGTAGTGCATATCACTTAACCAAAATCCTGGGGTTTTTTTTGTTGGAAAACGAAATTGCAAGAGAATTTTTTCAGAATCAGTGGTAAGAGAAACATGAAGTCTACATTAGAAGTTGGTTCCTATATTCATTTCCTGTAGTGCCATAAAGTGACTAGAAGTATTTCTACTCCCCCTGAATGGGATACTCAGTCCATCGATGGCAATTAGGGCTCAAAGCCGCACTGCCCAATATAATTTAACAGTTAGCCTAACTATTAGACCACACAGCTTCCCTCATGTTCTAGACCTGACGTCGGTCAATAGAATTTTAGGTAGTCATTTCCACCTATTGAGTATAAAATAACAAAAAGGTGCTTTTTATTTAATGATTCCTCTCGGTTCTTGTCTTGCACTAAACAGTTTATATCACATTGACTGATTATTCAAAAATATATAAATACATATTGCGATGGTAAGCTTCCCCACATGGTCAGTGCATTTGGAAAATCCCTTAGTATACATCAGTTTTCTTCCCGAACATTGGGTTTTTTCTACAAATGGTACCTCTGTCTTTTTTCTACTTAAGAAAATTATGATTTTGAGGTTTCTTTCGATTTTGTAAGTACATGTACTTGAAACTTTGTATATATATTGCAAGTCATGATAAAATTCACACCAGCCTTTCCATGGTGTATTTAATCTTTGTGTCAACTTCCCTCCAGCTCAATCTCGAAATTTCGTTTCCTTTGCATATTCTGAAGACCTTGTTTGATCTTAATTTTAAAAATCTACGAGGCATGCAAGTCAAATACCGTTGTTATTACTTAGAGAAAAAACAAAGTGACATTGACAAACATAATAATTCTTCAAATCCGGACATTTTCAGTGCAAGAAATTCTTCCGAAACCTCACTTTCAAATTATAATAATTCTCATAGAGCTTAAATGGCAATTCCTAACACAGAACATCTGCAAAAACAATTTCATAACTGAAATTATTTTTCCTAGACAATTCCACAACTTATTTCCACATGTAATTTATTTAATCTTCCTTGTTTTACATTTGATGTATACACAACTTTATTAAGCCAAGAAGAAAATCATAGAAGATACAAACATATACATAATCCTTCGAATGCTATTCGATGATTTACGACTTTTGGGCTTAAACGAAACCTCAAACATCAGAATCTATTAAGTTGCGCCCGGTGTTCAACCCAAATAACAACATGGAGCGAAAGAAAAACTGAGTTAGAGGGAGATCTTTATGCCTACACACCATAAGCGTGAAGATTCGAGCCAAAAGACAACAATATTGAAGCTTTAAATCTTAACATAATAGGGTTTTTAACGAAGCTAAAAATTGTAAACAGCTAACCTGCATAGCAAATTTAATACAATCGCCGAGAAAATATTGGTCTTGAATTGTAATATTTTAAAATTCTGTCTTTCTTATAATTAAGTTTCGATCAGCTAAAGCAAAGCGGATGACACCTACCTTTCCATTAGGAGACGTCTTTTTGAAGACGCTAAAAAAGAAAGAGAGGAAATTACGCCCGAATTTAGCATAGGTAAAGCATAATTTAACTAATTCTATGCTCACAAGCTGACGTTGAGTGAAGTATTCGTTGTTGTTATCACTTTCTCCCATATTGTACAGTTAAAATAAATCTTGCACGCATACTGCATTAAAAGAACCTTAGCAAATGACAATGAGTGATTGTGAACGGCTGTAATTTTGCAATGTCAAACGAAACTGAATGTGGAACAAGGCCACATCAGTAAGTCTGCGATGAAAACAAACACACACCATAATTTGCAAATCCCTCTTACCGTGTCCCCGCTTTTTTCGAGTCACTGTTCTCCATATTAGAAACAAGCAGGTACGACCATGAAGCGACGATAGAGCAGCGATCGTAAACGCGTTTGAAGACGAAAGGCTGATCTGCCAGCTGAAAATTCAGCTCCAAGTTTGACTGTACACAATTCTCCACTCCCCGTACGATTCTCTTTCAGCTGGGAGGACCGCGATTTTCAGCGCGCCAGGAAAAATCACCGAAGAATCACTGAAGAGTGACTGATAGGCGAGAAAAGGCTGCAAAACAGTCCTTCCACATCGGTGTGAATTGAAAATTAGAATGCACAAATACTTCTCACTATTCCTAGCAGCTTCAATTTGATTTAGCGCACCCTTTAGGGCTAGCTGAAGCATGCGCAATGGTTGGGGGAAGTGTTTTGTGACGTCACAAGAGTCAATTCTTCGATAACAGAGCGAAACAGGTGTATTGGCAGACTGGTTAGGTTTTCGTGAATAATTTAAAACTTACTTCTTCCTCTTTAAATCGACGGCAATACGTTCGGCATATCGCTTACCAAAATGCGCTAGCATCCCAGGGCTTACGATAAGTAGCCAAATTACGCTCTCTATATGGGATCATTTTACAGATAGGCTTCCACTGAGACGAAAATTGTGTGCACTAGATAAGAAAAACCCACGGTTGTAAGAAGCAGTGTACAGTGCAATTTTAATTATCCATGGCCTGCAGTCGTTTGAACATTATTATATCGGCGACTTTTGAACCTAGTCAAAATTATTTCCAGTGGACATCCTGGGCGAAAAGGGGCTTTTGCGTCAAGAAATTTTACCGAGGCCATCAACCGCAAATTAAGCAAGATACTCTTCTTACAGACGTTTCAGATGATGTACTTATCGCATCGAGATCTTGTTGCCGCAAGCACGTAAACGTTAAACAGAGCATTTATTTAATGAAAAAGTGTTATCCTCTAGGGTTGCTATTACACCATTAATGTTATCCAGCTTCCACTTTATTCTTCGCTGTATGTGCTTTTAGAGTCAAATGCATGCAGTTTCTTTCGCCTGCCCGATCAGTTTCAAGCAAATTAAATTAACATATCTAGATGAAGAGAAAACGTTTTCTATTTTCACAGCTTTGATCGAATTTTTTACATCTTATTTCGGTAAAACCATTTTCTGGCCATAAAGGCAGGTGAATTGAACCCAGAGGCCGTTCACCGTTAAAGTTTTTTAATGAAGCTCAAAAGGTTGTTCTATGTTGTTGTTCCGTGAATTGTATGTAGCACCTTGATTAATTGATGTCTTGTTAGACCGTATTGGGTATAGCAATATATCAGCTTTAATTTACATTTGTGACTTATCTATGGTTATTCAGCCAAGTTTTAACATAAGATTAATTTATGGGTGATACTCTAAGACTTTTGGCGAGTTGAGTCTTTCTGGCAGTATCGACATGATTCCCAATTCAAATTGACTAGGTTTTCCGATTGATTACGAAACTTATTCTTTGTTTGGCATTGAAAAAGGATGTTTTTAAGTTGAGGCGATCGGAGCTATAAATAGTCAGGACGTTGCGTGGAAACTTCAAACGAAAAGAAAATATTAAATCGATCAACGTCTTGAAACTGCTTTGCAGTATTGTCAAGTCTAGATGGGCAACCATCCAAGACCTAAAGGAAATGTAAACGACGCGACTTCAAGTTGTTGCAGGGAAAAAATTAAATATACATAGCAGGGCTTAATTGGAAGCGCATAAAGGCAAACTAGCGATTGAAAGAAAAACACAGATGTCTGAAACTCATTGACAAATGGAAATTCTCATTAAGAATTCATATGAAAAGAGGTATACGGTACACACGCTTGAAAGCTCTTCCGAAGACCTAAATGGCCAATGACGAAATAACATTTTTATGTCATATAATTATCAAAATCGTTTATGGCAATGAAGAGCTTGGAGGGAATTGCCAACGAGCTGCTTTCAGACAGTGTAGAAATTGCGTGAATGGTAGCCAAAAACAGCAAACGTGGGCATGCAAGATTTTTGTCTTTATTTACCTTAGAGAAGAGCGAAATGTCAATTGTCTGTGAACATATTTATCTCGCTGATTAGAAGCCCATCTATACTGAAAAAATAGGGAAGAAAAAGAAGTGATTTGGGTGTTTGATAATTTCTTTTTCACTCCTATTTAGAGTTTATTTTTTTACAGTTTACTAGCATGGCTTAAAATTTTCCATATATACTCGACTACGTATAATTGTCGACCCAATTTACAGACAGAGGCACTCCGTTCAGTCAGCAGACACTTAAGTGAAAATGTAATTAAAGTAGGAAATATAAAAAAGATATGGAAATCTGGAATAGGAACTTCATACATTTATGCAACAGATGATTTTTTTTAATGAGGAAATTTTAGACTGCGTCGGAATATTTTTTAGTGCAAAATTTAAAAGGAAAGGAAACGGCGGCCGGGAATATATAAGTTTGTCTAATTTTTTCCCTTCAGCGGCATAAGTGCCTGTCGGTCTTTTTAATGGGCTCATGATATTTTATTATTAATATTATTATTATTATTATTATTATTAATATTATTATTATTTTATAGGCCTTACTTTTGTGTTTTTCGAAATTGTGGCAGATAGATTAATAAATGAAGACACCTTGGAGCGAAGAAATTTTGTGAAATTCTGTTTTGTTCTCATTGAATTGACAATAATCATTCATTTTCACTGAAATAACCTATTTCGAAGTCGTCATATGGTTGCTATCGTTCAATTGGTTTGAGGGCTCTTCAATGGTTTTCTATGCCACTCCAAAATAACCGCTTTTCTCAGTAGGTTATAAATTATCTTTCTGTGCGTATACCGCATCGTTTTATGACTAAACCTAAAGCTACATACAACAGGACATGTTCGAAAAAGTGACTCACAGTGGTCTAAAAAAACCGAGTGCGTGTCTTTCTTGAAAGGCGACCACAAGAAACAGTTTTGGTTTTAAATGCGACAAAGAAGTCTTGGTGATTCATTTTCGTGAGGAGTTTGTCCACATTGTACTAGTATTCCATTTGCACTCGCAAACCGCAATCAGCCATATTCATTTCTTGACAAGCTCTCCTCTTGGCACTCAGCTACGAGATAAGATCACTGTTTTCGAGTTTCCTCTGATGTGGGTGTGTTTTAGAGTTATCTCAGTGCCTCGACATTTAATACAATATGCTGAAAACGGACGACAGTTAGACTCATTTAAAATGTATGTTATGATATAAAGCCGGGCATTAGGATTCCGAATTGCATTGTGACCACTCATAGGACCAAATATGGTCATCATTTTACGCACCATTTGAATGCTCCGCACCGAGCCCCCAGGCTAAAGCATTTACCGCCCACACAGCCACCAATAAAGGGCAGAAGACTTACTTAGTCACCCTCCCTCATTGCTTAAAATTGATAACAATTACCAAGTGGTTCCTGCTCGCGTAAAATTTCTAATGACACCCGTCGACACGCAAGCCGTTTCCAGGCCTTTATTTGTACTGGGCGCTCGTTCATGAAAAGTAGAAAACGCCCAGGGACTAAATGAAATAAATTACAATATTTAGAGGGCAAGCCACATCAGCCTTAGCTGGTTTTCATGCGGGTCTGACTCTATCAAATTGGAATTTGGAGATGTTGGTTTTTGTGGAGGGAGGAAAACTGGAGAACCCGGAGTATACCCTCGGAGCAAGGCGAGAACCAGCAACAAACTCGACCCACATATTAGTTACTAGGCAGGATTACTCGATAAAAAATGTTTTGAGTACAGCTAGAAGTAGGAAAACTTACCTAAGATACACGTCAGGGACGTTATCTATATGCACATACAAAACACAGCTCTAGTTCAAAATGTTCACTTCTTTTATCAAATGAAGAATAGCAAGTCCACTCCACGAATTATTTTGCATCAAAACACTGTTATGTGCTGTTATAATATATCAAAGTATTACAACAACATATAACAGCCTTTAAAATACAAACAGCGGAAGGATTTTATTTTTGTCCTGTAAACAAATGGCAGGTCAAGAGATAAGATAAAATTGTCTTATCTCTATACAATTCTTGACAGACCCAGAGTTGATTAAATGAGAACAAGGGCGGAAAGGGAGGAGAGGGGGGGTGGGGTTGAGTGAAGATTGGCCCTTACTGGCTCGGAAAGGAGGGGGCGGAGATGGCTGGGTTGCTTCTTGATCTTTGTACTCCGTAATTTCTTTCAAGTTATTTTAGACA